AACAGAAGGATCCTCCACATTGGGCAGGCATAGGAATGAAGGGTTTCAGACTAAGAAATTCCTAGGTAGCAGGTAAGGGAAATATCCCCGGATCCTGCTGACCCAGGAGGAATCCAGAGGGAACATCAGGAGACTGGGATTGGGATAGGCCACAGTCATAATTATTTTTTTTTGAAGATTTGTCTGATATTAACAAGAAGAACTCTGAGACTAAATAATTAGAGTCACGTGTGACTGAGCATTAGGCAGGAAAGAAAAAGCCATAAAACAAAGAAGAGGGCTTATAAAGGGACTTACAAACTGGACTTGCTGCTGTTGAAATTTCTGAATTTTGCTAGAAAGCATGAAAAATTTTAGATGGGATTCTCCAAGAAAAAGATCCTATCATTTACAAGTAGTGATTATTTTTTCCCCACAGACTATAAGCAGTTGGTGTCTCCATCAACTTTTTGATAAATGGTTTTTCACAGTTATTGAGTTATAAGGTCTCAAGTCGTGCCTCTCAGGCGGCCAGCACACAGTGACTGGATTCCCAGCACAAATGAACGCACGAGCCTTCTGTTTCCTAYGCCCTCCTTTCTTTYCCTCCTTCCTCAACATATTACACACACACACCTCTGAATTCCTGGCATTGGCTGACAGCACATATTGGGCTGTGAGAATACTGGTGGTTTGTTTCTGTTTGTTTTCCTTGGCATTATTATAAGAAAAAAATATTGAAATTATAAACAGCTACAATATGCCCATTTGGCTGATATTCTGTACAGGCGTGTCTAATAAATTTTGGAATTATTCAAATTTACTATAACACTTCTTTGCACCTACACAGATTTCTATAATCTTCTCGGTTTATGTCAAGGGAAATATGCCATGAAATTATCAAGAACCCACAAAACAAGAAGAAAACTCAGAGGTATCTTCCTAAAATCCTCTGTCTATAGAAACTGGTTTTCCGTTTTATGCCTCTGAATAACTCCAAAGTCAACAGGCAAGAAGACATCAGAATGTAAGCAGAAAACTACTGCTCAGGCTTTGAAAGGAGATACAGAAAACCGGGGAAGAAAATGATCAGGTTTAAAGCTAGTTTTTCATTTTGAAATCAAGACAGGAACTTCAGAAAAGGAGAGAATTTTTTCCCYCATGGTACTGGGGATTGAACCCAGAGCTGCTTTACACTGAGCTATATCTTCAGTTCTTTTCAATTTATTGTTTACTCGTTTTTGTTGTTGTTTATGAAACAGGGTCTCCCTAAGCTACTGAGGCTGGCCTCAAACTTGCAATCCTCCTGCCTCAGCCTCCTGAGTTGCCAGGATTACTAGTACATACCATAATGCCCAGCAATGAAATTGAGATCTAGCAAGTATAATCGCCCATTCGTGAAGTAGGGAAGAAATAGAACCAACTCTGAATCAAATGAAGTTTTGAAAATTCAACCGAATCTATGTGAAAATTATTTTCAACATTAGTAGATTATGAGGCTAGATAATAAAAAGTGATGGAAGAAAGGACTGTTGGTATTTCCACTAACTTCTTGGAAATTGTATTAATGGGCCAACTGAGAGATGTAGGGTTGGGCAATCCAGTGCAAGGAACTAGTGCACTCCCAAGGAGATAATACAGGTGAGCACTTGAGGGCTCTCACAAMAGAATTGAGGCCAGGCTACCTGACAGGTATCTTCCTCAGACACCTATTTGGGGTGGATGCAAGGACAAGAGATCCTCATGATGACTAGCTGGGACAACTTCTTTTGTTTGAATAACAAATTGAGATTGAGAGGAGAGCTGTTGACAATTAAAATATTGAGGATGTAGAGGTAGGAAAGACAATCAAGGGCCCCACTGTGTGGAGTTTACATTCTGATGGAAAAGAAAAAAAAAAAACCCAGAGTAAACACAATTCCAATTCTTGATAGGAAAGGTGAAGAAAGAGGGTCAAAGGTTAGAATATGGGTGATTGGGACAGGGGTGATTTTTATAGTAAGTTAGCTTTGGGAGGAATTTCTGAAAAGGTGGAGACCTGTCTGAAATTGGGGGAAAGGAAAGGAGTGTTAGAAGCGGTGGGAAAGCAGATATGAAGACACTGTCCCAGGACTGAGCCTGATGACTTCGCAGTCAACATGAATTTAGGACAACAGGCCACAGCAGACTAGTGGGAAGTAAAGTGGGGGTAAAGCAGGCCAGGGCCTCATCAGAAAGGCCTTGAAAGACAGAGCAGGGACTCTGGATTTTATTTCATGTGCATTGGAGAGATGTGAGCAGAGGAACAGTGTGACTTTATTTACTTTAAAAGGAACACTCKGGCTTCTAGGGAGAGATTGTGGGGCAGGAATAGAAACAGAAGGAACATATACAGGAGGTAACTTCAAAAGTTCAGGCCAGCAATGATGGTGAGTTGYCCGTGGGTGGTAAGCTAAAGAAGTACAGAGAAATAATCAAATGTATTTTGCAGGTCAAACCAAAGGGTTTTATCTAGAATGGGTGGAACACACGAGAAAAACAGGAATCTTAGATGATTCCCAGCTCGGGAGCCTGTGGAATGAAGTGTATGACAGCGTTCTTCAACTCTACACAGATTTTTATTTTCCTCTGATTCTCTTATGAAAAACTATGTTAGTACATCCATTCTGCAAAATATAGTTTGGCAATTTCTTCAGAAAATAAATATACACTTAATTGTATTTGTGGGCATTCATTCCAGAGAATAATGAGCTTATAAAAACCAATACATGAGCCAGGCACAGTGGTGCACACCTATCATTCCAGCAGCTAAGGAGGCTGAGGCAGGAGGATCAGGAGTTCAAAGTCAGACTCAGCAAAAGCAAGGCTCTAAGCAATTCAGTGAGACCCTGTCTCTAAATAAAATACAGAATAGGCCTGAGGATGTGGCTCAGTGGTTGAGTGTTCCTGAGTTCAATCCCCAGTATTCCTCCACCAAAAACAAAAGAAAGAAAGAAAGAAAGAAAGAAAGAAAGAAAGAAAGAAAGAAAGAAAGAAAGAAAGAAAGAAAGAAGGAAACTATACATGAGTGTTCATAGCAGCTTTGCTGGTAATAGTCCAAAAATAGAAACAAACAAAATCTCCTTCAATAGATGAGTCATTAAACCTTGGTATACCCAAACCATAGAAAATACTACACAGAAATGAAAAGAAACAGATAACTGATACATTCAGTTTAGATGAATCTCAATAGCTTTATGCTGAATGGAGGGAGTCCATTTCAAAAAATTTTCAAAAAATCACCTTTTATATGATTCCATTTATATAATATTCTCAAAAATCACAAAATTATAGAGCTGGATGGTTAGTATTCAGGAACCTGAGATGATTGAGGGAAGAGGTAGATCAAATGAAGGAGATCTTTGTGGTGACAGTTCTGTATATCTTGACTASAGTGGTAACTGCAGGAATCTACATATGTGCTCAAGCAACACAGAGCTATGTGCATACATTGTACTGATGTCAATTTTGACACTGTGCTATAGTTATAGAAGATGGAAGGTGAAGGGGACAAAGGCCCCCTCTGTACTTATCTCTGCAACTTAAGTGAATCTATACTTCGAAATAGAAAGTTTTTATTGAAAAACCTAACTATGCCCAAGTGTAAGGCAAAATGAATTGCACAGACATTAAAAGTAGATCGTAGTTAAGTATTATACCTGAAAAAATATCACCTTCACAATTTATAAAGTACATTTTTGCCAATATCTCTTTGGCTATGTAGGTATCCGCTGAATTAATCATCAAGGTTTCTGTGTATATTAAAACAGTGTCCTCCTGAAAGCCTCGGGAACAATAGCGCTTGGAATTTTAACTCTCCCTCTAACTGCAGGCTTCCACCTGAAAATAGAACTTGTGCATTTTTGCTTCTGCATCTGGACACAGGAGGGCTAGAGTGATGGATGGCAGACAGGAGCCAACACTGGTGTTCCAACAGATCTCAGACACTCTGAACGATGAAAGCTACCTGCTGAGACCCAAGCCACTCTCTTTCTCGAGGCCAACCAATGCCTGGGGACTCTAACATCTTTCCTATCAAAATTCAAGCCTCTATAATGTAGAATCTCAAAAACAGATGGCTTAGACCAAAGACCAATGGCCATGATCTAACAATGCTAATCACACCTTCAGTCCAAAAGTTGTCAAGTTCTCTAGGTATCAAAACTMGACTAGCCTAAATCATCCAAGTGAATTTGAAGGCATAGACAGTGGTGAAGTCTTCCTGAAGAGATTTTAGAACAGCTTTCTTGKGTATGCATTTCCTTAATATTCTGGTCTTCTAATGTCATACAGTCTCAATTCAAATGTAGAGACTTTGGCTCCTTCAAAGGACATTCCACTTCCAAGAATACGATCAAGCCACTGCATACTCACGCATGAATGCTAAATTCTAGACACTTTTTCATTTGGGAGGGCTTATGCACTAATTCTTCCATTCTTTTAGTCATATATTGAACCTAAAGTGTTATAAACCTAGAGTTTCTAAATACAGAGATTAATAAAACTTTCTTTTACTAGTTTAAATTGTAAAAGCAAACATAAAACTATATCCTGGGGTTGACTTCAATTCACAAACTCAGTTATTAACTGGAACATTTTCCAAACTGTGCATCTCACATCAGATTCTGCTTGCTTTTTTGGAATTGAATGCACTGCCAACAAAACTTCCAGAATGTGCCAGATGCCCCCTGACTGGATGCTGGTCCCGATTCCTTCAAGAGAGCTCTGTCAGGTAGACCACTCTCAATAGAATTAAATCATTCTGAATTTCGCATCATCTACCCAATACTGTTTTTCATGTGTTAATACATTCTAAAGAGGAAAATATGTTCTTTCACATTTTTATTTTCTAAGGCCACATAAAACTAAATCAATTGCAAATGATAGAGATTAAAACACCTTTCTGAAGACAAAGTAATTCATTTTAATCCCATTGGAGATTGGAGCCAGGAAAAATGTCAACACGGATCATTTATTAAAAATACAAAAATAAAGATACTCACAGCCAACCATCATCATGGCCACTGAAAACATCTTCTCCACATCCGTGGTAGGAGCTATGTTTCCAAATCCTATGGTTGTAAGGCTTGTCATGGTAAAGTAGAGAGAKGACACGTACAGTGAGTCCTTGCTGGGTCCTCCTTCCCATATCCCTGCGCTGGTGTTGTACCTGTAGGGAGTCCCAATGCTCAAGGCCAGCTGGTAGAGCCAACTGTCTATCTGGATGGTGTTGGTGACCTCGTCGATGACCTCGTAGTCTCCAATGCTGTACCATATGCAGGCCAACCAGTGGGCAACGAGTCCGAACACACACACCAGGAGCACAAGGACTGCCGCCCCGTACTCTAGGTAATGGTCTAGTTTTCTGGCAACACGGCCCAGGCGTAAAAGACGCACCACTTTCAAAGAACTGAAGAGGCTGCTGATTCCCTGGATGAGAGATAAGAAATGACAGCTCACTTTCAGAAAACAAAAAGTTGGGGAAACACTACAGTGGGTCAATTTCAGGAACTTGATCTAAGCACAGACAGGATAGAGCTATGACTATATGTAAACAATCAAAAAAAGGGCCAAAATGATAAACCTTTTTAAGAAGTGCAAATTACACCACAATCAGAAATACAATTTTCCAATATCACCAGATAAAACCATTTCCCATTAGCTAAGGAATGCCCAGTTTATTTTCATAATGTGGATTATAAAATAACAAATGAGAAAAATGTCCAAATACGCTATATACAGAGTGTAGAAACAGGGCTGGGAATTTCAGGCCTTTTATTTTTATAAAGCTTGACTCTACTCTAAAAGTTTTTTTTTTTAAATTTCATAATAGCTATGAACAACAGAACTTCTGAAGAAGGAAACCAATCTTACTAGCAAGCAAGCAAGAAATACTTCTGTGTACATGGGGAGAGTGAGCAAATACCATTGTCAATCCGACTACTTCCTGCCACAATCCTGATAAACACTAAATCTTCAGAGTTCTGGAAAAGTGAACAGAGCCGAACTTAGGATGGGTACACAGCCTGCTAATTCCTATCACCCTCTAGAAATAGTTATAGAAAAGAATACCAAAAAGGAAGAGCAGCAAAAAATACTCATAGTTTTTGAAAAGCTTAACGTACCAAATAAAGATAATGCAAATGAAAAAAAAAAGCATAATCTTTCTTTCTTTCTTCAAAGAAAAAGTAACAGTTATGGTTTAGATTTTAGTTGTCCCTCAAAAGCTCATATGTAAGACAATGCAAGAAGGTTTAGAGGAAAAAATGATTGCATTATGAAATTCTTAACCTAATCAGTGTCTTGATGCCCTGATGGGATTAACAGTGGTGACTGTAGGCAGGTAGAGTATGGCTGGAAATGGTGGGTCCCTAGGGGTATGCCACTGGGGTATATATTTTGTATTTGGTGAGTGGTGTCTCTCTCTCTGCTTTCTGATCATCATGTGAGCTGCTTCCCCCTACCACACTCTTCGGCCATGATGTTCTTCTGCCTCACCAAGGAATGGAGCTGGCTGTCTATGGACTGAGACCTCTGAAACTTTTTCTCCTTTACAATTGTTCTGGTTAGGTCTTTAGTCACTGCCTCGAAAAGCTGACTAAAACAGTATCAAAGCTTTTTTTGTTTTGTTTTTAACACATGATAGACAAGGAGCTGGGGAGGGGGTGTCAGGATAAACGTATTCCTGATACAGATCACAAAACAGGCAGGGAGGGAAGTCAGAGCAGTGACCTRGGAAGCCTCTTGTCATCGGCTCATCACCTACAATTCAAATCAGGTCCATGACCTCCTACTGCTAATTCTGTCTCCCAGAAGGTGAAGTTTAGTTCTGACCAACAGGAGGGATTGAATGATGCAGTGGAAAGGGCTGACATTCACCAGGCTCCTCTTAGGTAATGGTCAAGTTCTTGATAGTTAAGGGGGAAAAGCTAAGAATACATTTGGCTTGTATATTCTATCCTCTGTAATATAGTATAGATTTGAAATATACCATAAGAATTTCAGAGTGAGAGAAAGAGAGWGAATACAGAGAAAGAGAACAGGAGAGCCCAAAGAAATGAAAGGGTAGCAGGGTCCCCCCTCTGGGTTTTCTGTCTCAGCCTTGATTTCCTCAGTCATGCCTTGTTTCAGTTGAGCTCTCAAATGTCGAGTCATACGTGAAGCCTTGAGATAAATTCTCATTTCACTTGAACTTCTTTTTTTTTGGGGGGGGGGTGCAGCTATTGAACATTTAGGTAGTTAAAAAGAGCAGGATTAATAAAATTTGGGAGACAAATTAGCAATATTCAGTGACATGAGACACTGCAAGGTAAGAAGATCTGAGACAGCTTAGAAGCTCTCAAAAACGGGCCTGTGTAATCATGAACATGAAAGACAAAAATAAGCATTTGTTGAGCATTTCTGTAGGCTGGGCTTCTAGTTGAGCCCTGGGGACATTAAGATAAATATATCTTGCTTCAGTTCTAAAGAAACCCATAATCAAAATACATGAAAAGCTCAAGAGTTCAATTTGAAAATAAAAATAACATTGCTGGAGATACTGTTTTCTAGGTAACTTGAATTTTTAAAGGAACTATGGAATTTCTGTTTAAATACTGAATAGAAAAGTCATTTCTACCTGAATTGTTCTCTCTAAAAACAAAGGAAGGGAAAACAAAAGAAATCGTCACCCTACTAGAATTAAAAAAAAAAAAAAAAAAAAAAAAAAAACAGCCATGACCAGAATGGAAATAATCGGAATCTACCAGAATTAAGCTCAAAGGATGAGAAGATACATTCCTCTGTTCTGTAATAGGCAGATTTCTCCCTGAAGGGCACCAGCTCTAGAGGCCACTCACTAAAAAGCACATTTTCTATACTCACATTTAACATTACTTAAATATTATGAAATATTGTTTCAATGTTTTTATTAGTACATTATAGTTATGTAAGAATGGGATTACTTTTGACATATTCATATGTGCATGCAATATAACTTGCTCATTTCAATCTCAGTACTTCCACTTTCCCWCCCCTCCCCTCTCCCCACTTCTCTCTTTACTCTGCGGGTCTTGGGTCTTCCTTCTATTRTTACAAAATATTTTGTGAGCATCGTAAATTATTTCTGCCATGGATTCTAAGACAACCCTTTCTCCTGGTTTTTAACCAATTCCCCAACTGGTTGTTAACCAATTCCTCAAAATCATTTTCTAGACTAACCTACTCCATGCTTCTATTGTGGCTTAGAGTTCTCATCATGATTGCCCTATCCCTCTCTGGTCCACCCATTGCATATTCAGGTTTCTGCAAACTTCTATATAAGGAAGATTCACAGGTCCACTTCTCAGCACAAAAAGTATTCTGTYTTGAATTTCTTACACACAAGCCAAATGCCTGCAGCACATTTCCATATGGATGTCCCATAGGTATCCAAAAGGTAATAGGACCCAAAGGGAATCTTCACTTCTCCCACCTGGGTTCTTTATCTCCTGTCTTAGGAGTAACATCGTTATCCACCTCGATGCTCAGACCTGAAGCTGAACTCAATGCCTCCTTTCTTCTGCCACATCCAGCTGGTTTTCAAGTCCTGACAATCTCACTACAAGTGCCTAAGTGCTCAAAATCTATCTATTTAATAAGTTTCTCAAAAATATTCCTTGTTTTCTGTTCCTACAGTCTTTTCTTGGTCACRATTCATGGTGTTTTGTTTGGTTTTGTTTTCATTTGTGTGATGGGAATAACCTTTGCATCAGCCGCCCTCTGTTCTCTCTACTGATCACACTGGATGTCAGTCTAGTATTTTTTAAATGTATACCCATCTAATGATCTTGCTCTCTGAGCTAAAAATCTTTTCATATTAGCCCACTGCTTATGGGATCAAATATTAATTCCCAACTATGACATACAAAGTCCATCAGGGCCTGGTACTTGCCCACTTGGCCAGCATCCCCCCCACCAATTCCTCCCTGGGCTTGCCATAGTGCTGCCAGGTTCAGCCATGTGTAGCTCATAGAAGACTCATGCTACATTACAGATCATTCCCTCTGCTTRAGACACCCTTCCCTCCCACTTTCTTGGTGGCCTGGATCTTACTTATAGTGATAACAAACACTACCTCTCTGTAAACTTTTCCCCACCTACCATTCTCACTGTGAGAACTGGGTGTCCTTTCTTTGTGTTACACACACTTTGCACATCTCTATTACAACAATTATTACTATCGTGCTTTATTACAAGTCTATTTGCATGCATCACATCCTAGGTAATTCGAAACTCCAGAAGTATATCTAATGTCAATTATGCAGCTGGCATATGGAACTAGGTTAAGCAGTCAATAAGCAAGAGGATAACTTTTGCAACACGAGCAAATTCAGCAGTGAATTGGGAATTTGGTCAATAATGAACCCAATGTGATTTAAAAGTATAATGTAGAAAAGAAATAGTCAATGTAACTTTGGGTTATACTAAGAGAGTATAGCATTGAGTACGAAAGAGAATTTCTGTGTAACCTCTTCACTGACCAGGCCACATGTGTAAGAGACACATTGTRTATATTTATCAGATAACTGCCACACAAAAAAAAAGAACTCAAAAACCATACTATATGGGAAATATGGAAGGAACTGGAAAAAAGGAGAATGAGGCAAGGCATAACTTTATTCAGATACAAAGGGCATGAATGTTGAGTTCATTCTATATAATCCTAATGTGAGTAACCCGGCTCATAGTTGGAGCTGCAGGAAGAGAGGGATACAGTAAAGATTTCGACAAGCCTGTGCCATACAGCACCATGCAGTTAACCAACCAAAAAGCTAGATCATTCATTGCTACTTGGAAATGTCAGCAAGGTTAGGATAACATTGAGTATTTACTGTTCGAAGTGTATTCTATGGCTCAACTAATCTAACCTTCAAAATTACTCTCTGTGATAAATGTYACAAAAACATGGCCCAGAAAAGTTAAACTATTTTACCAAGTTCACTTAGCTAGTATAAGGGGGATCCAAGATTCAGATGCAAGCAATGGCTCCAGAATCTCTGCTTTCTGTGAAACTTGCTATAACTAAATTCTATGCACCTGCAATACTGGCTTAGCCATGGGTCATTCTCTAAGAATGAATGAAGGAGATTAAATGACTAAGCCCCCCTTCTCTCAACACTCAGTCACAACAAAAGTCTCCAGAAGTTGTCTATGGAGGCCCTACCAATTCTATGTAATCTGCAGTTCTCTAACATGAAGCAATTCATTGCATTCTCAGAATAACCAACGACTCCTACCTTGATTGCTCATATGAGGACAGTGAAGCTCAGGATAGAAAAGCAACTCATCCAAAGTCATAGTTAGCAAAGAATGAAGTGTCACTCCAACCCAGTCCTCCAGATTCTTAATTCATTTTCCACAGCAACTAGCTGCTACTCRGTCTTCCTACCCTTACCCCAATCTAAGCTACA